TGTATATTCCATTTTATTCTCACTAATACATAGTCCTAGGAATATGAATCTTGCCTGCCTGAAGCTTCCTCTTCTACTAAAAATCAACAAGGGAACAGCTTTCTCAACTCAAACACTGTAAAAACAGATGGCTAAACCCCATGCCTCTCATTCACTTTTCTTGACAAGTTTCTCCAAGGAGAGCAAGAGGACTGCAAATACAATAAAGAACTTTCTAGTAGATGTATTTGTAAAAGAAAAAGGCAGTTTCAACATAACTGTTTCTATTTCCTACCCCAAAAAAATACAGATTTCTCCATTATTTGTTTGCTCATAGAAAGCCTTATAAACAACATGGGAAGAATAACAAAATCTGTCAAAACTCACATTTGAGCTATTTCAGTGGGGGTTTTCAATGTCATAGGAAAGAACAAATCTTCTGTCTCTTATTCAAGAAGGCCTAGTTACTAGTCTCAATTCAATAGGTTCCACATGCATATAAGCATTCTCTAAGATGTTCTCAAACTATTCACCCTGGATTAGCTGGCACAGCAGTGATTTACATTGGATAGGCTGGCCTCACTTGATTTAACATAAAGTTATGGAACAGTTAGGTGCATGAACTACAGGAACTTACATCCTACTTCCAACTTTTTTTTTAATTTTTCTTTTTTTTGGTCAGAGTATAAACTAAACTGAAGCAAAAAGAAACCCAAATCCAAGCAAGAGTGCCATGGTGTCAATCAATTTTATGATAACGTTTATAGCCAACACTCAAAGAAACAGGTCATTCCTAAAACAATGAAGGCATTAAACAGAGTGTAACATAAAATAGCTGCTGTACAAATATTTCCATCCAACCCCATACTCAGGGGTAGAAGTTAAATCTCCCAAACCAACACAAAAAGGAACTTTTTTCTTTTGGGATAAAGAGCCTGGTCAAGCTGTCAGAGTCTACAGAGAGAATCCTTTGTCCCACAGAATCTTCTCACGCACTGGCAAAGCAGTGAATGAATGAATGAATACACCTTTTTTGACACCTTTGATGAAACATGCAAACTGCATTAAAAGAATAGGAGACTGACACCAGAGAAGTTTAAAATCACTAGAAGCATTCAAAAGCAATTGACTGTCATGAATAAATTCCAGAGGGTTCATAATTATTATCAGACTAATAGGAAACAGAAACTAAGGTTTAATACCAAAAAAACAAAATACAGAACACTGCCTTCTCTCTTCCAACAAAGAACATCATGGAGTGTTCTAAAAAGAAGAAATAAGCTACTACCTCTTTTGGCACAGGGAACAGCATATACAGCTTTAACATTTGAAAATTAATCCCATATTACCTAACATCTGCTCTGCAATTATTGGCTTAAGTGGTGAATATTGGCTTAAGTGGTAAATACTGAAAGCTTTTCTCAGTGTAAGAATTTTGCAGCAGATTTTGTGGTGTCAGAGAGGACTCTTCACACTGCAGTCCAGAAATACTGACACTCATACATCAAAAGCAGGGAACATACAGTTCCACCCCTATTTTAGTACAATGGTCAAATGAGAGAACAAAATTCATGCACCAGGAATTCACCTCTGGCAACTTATCTCCTTGTAGCATAAATCAGTACGAGAGGAAATGTCACAGATAAGTTCCTCCAACATACCGAAAGAGGTTTGAAACTGTTGTACAGTACAGCCCATTTGACAGCAGATAATCACAAGACACCAACTGCTGTGAAAACAAATGCTAAGGAAGGCACAAATTGAATAAATTAGTAGAGATACAAATTAAGTGTAGGAAATGCCTGTCCATAATATACTATTGATTTCAGTTCTCTGTTGCAGGATATAAAAAGCACTAACCAAAGGAAAGAATCATTAAACTACAACCCAGCAGTTTCATCCTTTAAGGGCCTAATATGCAGTACCTCAAGAGATATGAATGTAAGATTAGTTACATAAAGCCATCTAACCACAAAAGGAGGAAAAAGCTTTATTACCATCAGCTCCACTGTTGACGATTAAATGAAAATATGATGGAATAGCAAGACCAAACATATATTACAATCCCATCACAGAGAAAAATCATCTCTCTGCTGACTCTTTCATCAAGAAGAAGGTGAGACAAATTCAGAAGTGATGAGGGTAATACAGCTTAAACTGTGAGATGAAACACAGAGCAGTAAGTGTTTAACAATGTTTCTACTCAGACCTTAGGCACCCCTTCATTAACACAATTAAAAGTATTTACCTTGTTACCATGGAGTACAACACATTTTAGGCAGGGCATAGTCTGTGGTCAAGGTAAAGCCCCGAAGTCAAGAAGACATTTATAACTTCTGTCTTTCAGACATATGCCATATAAATCTGCCATATATAAAAGATAAGTTCAGCTGCTTGAAATTCATCTGAACAATTACTGATGTGTGATTTGAATTCCCTGACACAGCAAGAATTTTTTCTGAAATTATCATTCCACACTGTGCCCAAAACTACCACTGCCTGAACTCCTTGGCTGCTGTAATCAGTGGGGAAAAAAGCAATGTCTGTGGAAATGTATGGCCAAGTTAGGAAACAACAGTTACAGGTATTGTTTCAGATTCTTTCACTTTAATTTTAAAATATTTTAATACATTAAATACTACAGAAATGCATTATCATAGTAAGAAGGAAAGTCAGGTTTGAGACTCAATTAGGAAAAGAAAAAAGCATTTAAATGAGTATGAAAAGATAACTATATTTTCAGTAGATCATTTCAGGAGCATCTTTTTGTGATGACACCAACAGCCCAGCCTCAGCAAATGCCCAAGCCTGAGACTTACATGGAGAACTTCTGTATCTCTCTGATAGCCTAAGGACAGCATTCAACACATGACATTAGAACATGACATCATTAGAACATAACATTAGAAGGGAAACTTTGTGAGACTAGCCCTGTCAACTTCTTAAGATGCAAAGCCTTAAATAGTTGCATGATCATGTCTCAGTGGAAGTATTCATTCTTGATGATTCTCACAAGGGAACCAGCAAAAAGGAACAAAAATAACAACAACATAAAACTAGACAACACAGACTGAATCAGTCAACTCTGAATCACATAAATGATTTTAAGTTTATAAACAGAATTATAAATTTTAAAAACCCCTACAATTTAGGAAATGCCCTCAATGCAAATTCACATCATTGCACCAACGTCCCTAGACCCATGCAAAGAGAGGATGAGTTTTTACTCTAATTTATTTTCAAAAACACAAAGTATGAATAAATGCACTTTTTCCCACTTGTTAAACATTTTTATTTTCTTGTACCATAGAACCATTAGTTGCTATGAAAGATCTGTAAAATAAAGCATATGAAAGGGAACTTGTGTGATAACTAATTACATCCTTCAGTTACTGCCACTTTCAGCCTTCCTCACCCTCATTCAGCTCCTCACTGCAGAAATGTAAGAGATGTACAGTACAGAAATGTACTGACCTCTGCAAACTGAACTGCAAGGCAGCAGTTCAATGCTAGCGCAACTTTTTTTGACATCAGTGTGATAAAAGGCTGAAGCTAGTGCAAAGGAGCAGAGTCAGGTCTGGCATTGCTACTTTTCCCACTAACTCTGATGACTGCTGTGACAGAGACTTCACAAGAAGTTAAGAACTAAAAGAACTCTTACAGCCAAGTCCCCGGTCAGAGGTGGGCAAGGTCAGAGATGGAGATCCGGCACTGAAGAAGCAGCTATCGAATATAAGCCATCCAAATGCTTCCTTTGAACATCTACTTCCTCTTGTCTTCATTGTCACTCATCATAAAAGAACATTAAAACCACAAGAGAAACTGCACGAGATGCTTGTCTGGTTGCAGTATTACCCATACCTAGGTCAGCCCTCATTTCAGCTCAGTTAAACTGAGCAAACACTACTCTGGCACACAGACATCTCTCCATACACCCTAGCACAGAAGAGACCTGAATGCATTTATTAAAAGCCTAAGGGCACATCTAACACCATCCATCAGACATGTAACCACCCCTTTACAAGTTTGAAACCACTTTTATAAACTTGGCATAATGATCCTTGGGAATGTTCTTCTTGTTGTTGGTTTTGTGGTTTTTGTTTCGTTGATCTTTTTGTTTGTTTTTTACAAACAGCTAAACAGCAGAAGATGGGGCCTCTATGAAACAGAATAGAAATTGACTTGAGCATCTTCCAGCACAAAATTATTGTCACCATGCTTCCTAATGAAAACTTGCACACTCATGTAAGAGAAACAGACATTTTGCTGTGCTTGAACATGTCTCTTTTTTGGTTATTTTGTAGTGACACTGTCAAGAAAGAATTATGGGACGGTACAGAAGAAAATAAAAATAACTAGGAACCTAAAGCAGACCTCACCTGTTTCTCGTGCTAATGACTGTTTAGAAAGTGCACATTTGAAAACTCCTTTTTATTCTGTCAGAGAATGATAGGGAAGTTATCTTTAATAGCCATTACTCAAACATATATATAAAAAGTATCTTATTTCTCTAGCAGTCTTTATTCTATCAAAAGGATAATCCTTAAATGTTATGTGTCATTCACTTTAGTTTTTTAAAGCTGACAACATTTTGAGTAAAGTGCTCGGCCATTCATGGGAAGATGTAAACCCATAAAAAAGAAAAAAAAAAATCCTCCAGTTAAGACTTCTTGCATTGTTAAAAATAATGAAGAGGTGGACTTACAGGGCCAGGCTTTGTCAATCAGTGTAGCTATAGTGACATGACAGTTTTACACCAGCTGAGAATCTGGTCCTTGTGATTATGAACAACAACAGGGAACTGACTTTCCCATGCCCTTGGTGTTAAGAGCCATGAAAAGAAAAACCCCTCTTGCCCTTCCCTTGTGATTTTTTTATGAATCCACACAATGTACCTATCCAAACACTATAAATATTTACAAATTATCTACTACACAAAAATTTTGTTCTAATTTATGTTCAATTTTTTATTCATGAATTCATATACTTTCATTACCCAGCAGACAGGTACCAGTTCTTACCTGTGATCTAAATGGTGAATAGAGATAATAACCCCTGAATTCAAATGGGCTTGTTTTAAGGTCACCAGGATTGTGAATTCACATTTATTTCTTAACTTCTGAAAAAATATTTCAGCGGTTTCTGGAGATGCCTTCACATTTCTTGAAGTATCTAAAATAAACATGACAGGAAAAAACACTCAGTATAAAATCTTATGTTACTTTACATTCTCATTCAAATATCTTACAAAATAACAGGCTGTTTCTGAGAAGCACAATTGAACAGGCAAAAGCAGTGATCAAAGTACTAAAACATTAGTTTTGTATGCAATGGAAGCAATTTAAATGAAAGAGAACACATTTTCTAGGACACCTATTCAGTTCTGGGGAGCGGTGGTGTTTGTTTTGATCGGGGGTCATAACCCTTACTTTCTTCAGGAGTGGCCAGACAGTACCTTTAATATCTTATCCAAAGTTTGGGCTCACTAGCAGTGAACGACACTAGACATGAGCCTAAATCCTCACACGTGACCGGAGCAACTTTTTAATGACTTCTAAAAGATGTTAGGCCTAATAGCATAAATACATAAATAAATAAACTAATTTAAAAAATTTACTCAGCTTTAAGTAAAAATTTAAAAATTCACCATATTTCAAAATATTTTATTGCTAATTAATTGCTCTGTATCCATTTGGGTGGTATTTTCCTGCTGCTTCTTGCACAGGATGTCATGAACATTTGTTAGAGTACTGGCACATGTATACAATAAAGACTTTACTTTTAAAAACCCACACAAAGCCTAGACAGATGCAATATTTCTGCTGAATTTGCACATAACATGCATAGAAAATAAAAAAGGCCCAAGCTTAAAACCTCTAGAGAGATAATTTACAAATAAGATGTCAAATGCTAGAAAAATAATTCCCGATCTCCAGAATACATTAGACCAGAAAAAAAAATTAATACACATTTTTAATGCACAAAATCAATTCATTAGCATGTATAATCAAATGTATAAGAACTAAATCAATTCACAAGCTTCTTGTCACAGAAATTTGACCGCTCTGCTTGGCGACAGTAACTCAGGAACAGCAACAGAACTGGTGATTTTCTTATGGCGGCACTGGAGCTGAGCTCTCAAGTACGCCACTCTCAGCTTACACCACTGTTCTTAAAACAGTTTCATTCTTTAAGCTGGATCTAAGAAGATGCTGCTCTCCATTAACAGAAACAGTTTCTTTTGGTTTATGGATCAGGAATATTTAAATATCTGTTTAGGAAGTGCAGCAACCTGAGCAACTGTGAAGTCATAACCAAGCTCCTGAACAGTGTCACACCCAGTTGAATTTAATCGGTTTTTCACAAATGGGAATCCAAAAGAAAAAAAAAAAAGAAAACGTTAATTTCTACCAAATTCCTATGATATTCTCATAAGCAACTGGTGAAAGAAAGCATGTGCTTAACACCCCTACTCTTAAAGAAGGCCAGCCCATCCATTTATAACTATCCTCCCCTTCCCCAGGCCCTTTTATTCTAACTGGAGCTATTGGGATGCAAACACTGCACTACAGGTGGCCTGTGCTTTAGCAAGGAAACAAACCCTCACCATTAATAGACCAGAGCCACCCCAGTCCTCATCGCTCTGTCAGAGGCAAGGGAAACACAGAGCTGCCACAACACCACATAAGGGGAGTAATTTAAGAGGTCTCTTCAGGTCACCCTGAATCATTACCTGATCACTACACTGGATGAGAATTTTCCATCCTTTATGCTATAAAACCTTATCTGGGTACCCTATAATCATTCATTGTGGCCTCAGATAACCTTCTTGTATACAGACAATAGCAGCAAGACCTGATTGCATCATGCTGGCAGCCTAAATACTAAGGTTACCATCACACTAACTGCTGGAGTGTTACACTGCCAAAACACATGGCCATTCAGTTTTGGTATTGCAAATAGGTCAGATTATACTTGCTGCTCAAAAAAGCGACACAGCCTTTTGAATTATTACTACTGTTATGAAGCACAACATTCTTTGCTCAGGCACCAGGTGGATTTCTTAAAAGCAAGATGACTGAAAGGTCCTTGATCTGTCAGATCCATTCTTTTCACACTAACACAAGAGTGCAAATCCCTCCTTCCAATTGCCTCTGAACACTAGCAGTAGGTGCTTGATAGATCACCTGCTGTGCTCAATAAATATTGCTTCAGGCTTCTTCTTGATATTTGGCTCCTAGTAATCAGTTTAAGACCCAACAAAAATACCTTACTCGAACTAGGCTTCTTCCGTAATAGCTTGGAAAAATCAAATTGGTATATCTCAGACAATAATTTGCAGTTTCTCAATAGTTACATAAAAACCTCATACTGTGAGCATTTCCAATACACAAAGCCAGAGGCATAACTTTTTTCAACTTGGAGTGCAAAAATAAGCAGAGAATTAACAGTTTGAATTAGAAACTTGTCTCTAATCACAGAAACATGAAAGTGACGAAGAAACAAAAAATGCAAACTCAAAGCATGTCTCACTCCTTGCTCAGGCCAGATCCTTTAAGATCTAACATTGCAAAGCATCCTGAAAACCCAGCAAAGAAAACCACTGACCATAAGACCAGCAGGAACTCAGTCCTTCAGAAAAGAAGCTTAACAGCTGCCTGGGCTCCCAAAACTCCTCACCATTAGGACACATTTCCCCGCTCAGAGACAATCTGCAATCAGAGCTCTGCAGCAAATACCAACATCACACCAGCGTTCCCTGAAGGTGCCAAGAGCAGACAGTGTCATTTCAGTCATGTTTGTGAAATAATAATTACTGCCCTTTAACAAAGACAGTAAGTAACTTTCACCAGGACTCACTCCATAAGTCCAAAGGACTTCCACCAGTCCAACAGGTAGTGCAGAAAGAAGCAGTTTTACCCTCTGCAGTCACCAGCCTGTTAACTGCTCTCATCATCCCTGTGGTGACAACTGCATTCATAAAAATTTATGAGGAAGTATTACAGGCTACTGATCCAGACTTAACTAGTCCAGCCATGCCTCCTCACTAAGGGAAAAAAGTAGCCATGGACAGTTATGGGAGTAGCCATGAACAAGTTATGGGAGGAAAGTAGGAATATTTCCATACACAGTACCAGCAGCATACTAAATCACACTGTGGAAAGACTTGGGACAAGCCATTGACTACCATTCATATTCCACAATAAAACAAAACTGTTATTAAACAGAATGTGTGCCTTTTCCTAGCAAAGGTGTGCTCTCAAATTTTTAAGAGCACCTAAAAGTACACATACAGTATGAACTGAATTATAAAACAAATTCCTGCAGAATAGTCTTTGAAGGAGGAATTCTAACTAATTGAGCTCCACAGTTTGTTTCATGTGCACATAATCAGCTTTTAATAGCAGCATCTATAAATCAATTCCACATCTCACTGTAGCTCTGCTGAACTGTCCAAATTAAATTCTAGTGGTTTGTGAGAAGAAGGAGGGCTGAAGGCTAAAATGAGGCCGAGAAATATAATTGGCTCAATTTTGTTCCAATTTCGTACACTAGGAGGGATGAGTATCACAAGCATATATTCACATTCTGTCACTTTCCCATATTCAAGTTTTTGGTTAATATTTTCATAACTAGGATTTCACACAGCCTTCAGAGGGCAACTGTTTACTTTCTATGTTTCTTTTATTTAGGTAACAAATATAAACTAAGCTGCACCCAGCCAACCGGGCAGCATTCAAAGCCAATCCAATAGCAAAATCTTTATGAGGCTGACAATACAGCAGGATTTTAAGTGGAACACAGTGCATTCAAATTCAGGAGTTGCGTTCCTCTAATGAAAAATGAAGATATAAAGAAGTAAAACAACCTTTATTAGACCAAAGCCTTGCTAGACGTGATATGCATTAAATCCTTCAGTAGAAAGGCTGGTTGTTTTGCTATTTAAACTGATATATAAGATCAGCTCATAAAACATTTTAAACTACTTTACCTATAAATTTTTCTATTCCCTTCTCAAAGATTCGCAGTTGTTTCAGAGAGAACAGCAAAAAAAGCAGCTGTAGTTTTCCAAACCCACATAAACCTGAGCTGGATTCTCCAAGGCTGTAGGAAGGAGCTCTGCAAGAATCTGGGGGAAGTTGTTGCAGTTCCATCTGAAGTTTAAATACTAATCCTGTAAGACTCCCACTGGGGCCATTCCCAAAGGGTGTGCCTACTCTACAGGGCTCAGGAGCACTGCCCAGCTCCCAAACCTGGGTGAACTCTAAGACTACAACCAAAACGTACATCAGGATACAACCAGGTACATCCAGACCTCCATGCACCCAAGAGCCTCCCATAAACTGGATCCAACCTGGTCTCCCCTGAACAAACACTCACAAATGCCAGGAACGAGGACTCCAGTAATTAATATCCCAAGTGGCATGATCAGGACCTTGGGATAGCCCACAGACAGTTTAGGGACATAGCCCACAAACTGCCCTAGTAGTTTTGACATCCCCATGATGTGGTGTTTCTGCCTTCTTACTTCCACTGAAGAAATGCTTCAGCAAGGATGCATGCAAATAGAAATGCAGTAGATGAGAAGGAGAAAAGGAAGAGGGCAAAATGCTCTGCAGCTGAAACAAAACAATCGAAACAAAAGCTGACTTGAAGCCAAATCATTAAATCAAATAAAAACAAGAGGGAAAATGTCACAGTTTGTTCTTGCAGCATTTGGGGAGGTTCCAACTGTCTTTGCTTTGTAGCTTCCTCTGTTCTGAATGTCAGCTACAGCTTTGGTGTGTCATCCAGCAAGGGCTTTCCTCCAGCTCAAACCAATATGCAAAGTCCCACAACTCACAATGGACTGACACAAAAGACTACTAGAAGACCTGTTTCTAACACATTTTTCCCCAATTACACTGGCTGTTCATACTTATGTCCTTCAAAATCAGTAATCATATCACTCCTGGACAAAACACTGGCTCACCTATATGCTACATACTTTGATGTTTAAAGTCATTTGGCACAGCTGAGAACAAATCCACTGTGGGACAAGAGGAGAGAAAGGTATGAGAGCCTGGACAGCTAGGCTTGAATCAGGATAGACTTTGCAAACCCATGACGGTCTGTGGAAAACAACAGCAGTAATATAATACATATTCCCTATGAACTGACAATATTACCAT